AACATGTCAATGTGTGCAGGGTTAAAGTAAACATTGTCATAAAGAAATGTAGTACGCGTATGGTGAAGTACCTGATTGTCTGGGCTTGGGGTCCACATCAGCCGCACGTGCTATGGTTGTAGAGCCGGATATGGGCACGACGGTGGATATGAAGTCCTTTAATTTTATAAATTCGTCGGACACGTGCTGCATGATTTCGAGTTTCAGGGTGCAGAGCCGTATTTCTATGAGAATTCTTTGATCTAGTAACATGTCCTGAACATCGTCCGTCATGAGGCTCGATCCGGCTATTGCAGTTGGTCGATCATAAGAGGTGGATGGTGCCTGCATGGGAGAAGTAGCTCTATGCACGTAGGGGTGGAAAATGTCCCCGTCTATCCACTTCGTCGAACTCGGTCACCGTAACTATCCCCACTGTCGTGGTCCTCCGAGTCCTCACCTTCGACCTCTTCGCTATCATCGGCTCCTGACTTCTCCTCCTCGCCACTGGTCCCACTACTCTTATGGGCCTCTTCAGAAGTCTCATTCTCGGAGGTGCCTTCTTTGGGTGTGCCTAAATGCTCTGCATCAAACTATGGAGCAATACTATCCCTAGCAAGGTCGTCCAATGTAGGGACAGGACGATTATTAAATGGCACAAGAGTGGCGATATGAGGTTGTCCACGCTCGGCTTCGATGGGGCGCAGCATCGCGTACATATGTAGCTGCAACATATACGTATTCGTTAGGAATTCACCTCATGCTACAATGACGAATGGAACGAATGAGAACGTAGAACTAACATAAAATTTTACCTGTACATTCTTGAAGAAAGCTTCGTACGTATGCTGCTGCTGCTGCGCTGCTTTGTGATGTCCAGCCGAGGAGCCATGGAGAACGTTCACCACGACGCCGATCGACCGATCACCAATTTCGGGCATCGCCTCAAACGCCCATATTTGTTACAGCAGAAAAGGAATGTAAGTTCACGACAAAACAACCACTACATACATTTGTATTGAAATAATAAATACGTCAAATAAAAGTACCTGCATGGCAATAGGAAAGTCATGGACCGTGTAGCTAACTGCCTTCTCCTTCTTTTTCGTCTATCCAAAAACTTCCTTGCCTAACAGCCCCGAAAGCCCCTTATCAGACGTCCATACGAGATTTTACCCCAAGGATATGAAAAGAAAAAGTCCAAATCGTCGACGATCAACAACGTCTCCATATCGATACCAACATTGTTATCTGGAGCATTGAAGACTCCTTCGATGATCAAGGCGAGGCCGAGCTTGTACTAATTGGCTCGAGGCATTGATGATCGGAGAAATGTCTGCTCCAGTTGGGGGTACGAAATCTTGTCAACATGTTTAAAGTATTTGACCTTTAGTATCCTCTTGTCAAAAACTCGTTCCATGACGTTGTCATCCGGGAAAAGACCACACCTTAATCTCGTCACGAGGGCATACTCTTGGATGTCGAACCTGGCGTGGTGGCATTGCAAGTTGAACCACAGTTCGTGACACTTATCTGTTTGTATGCAGCAAAATATGAGCTGTTGGATTAATTGGGCATAGAACTGGGAATTCGAAACCTCCGACAAGAACCCAAGGCATGAGTTGAGGAAATCTTCCTATTGTCACTCGTCAAAATGTTCGACGACTATTTTTACATAATGCAGATTGCTTCTCTGTGATATGTGGCCCCGCAGGCATGCATTCTCTGGAATAAGAGGCTCGAAATCCATATCTACAAAGACAAAATAAGAAATGAATGCGTCAGACCAGAATATAAACTTTCTAGCAGCATATACGCCCAAAACCACAAGTATGTTGTGAAGTGTCATTCAACAATTCCTCGTGAATACAACGAGTACCTCCCACAACCTCAATGTATGCAAGTGAAAGCAAGGTTATGACACATGTAACATAAACAATGAAATGGAAGATATGGCCACATCAATCAAGAATTCCACCAAATGCATATGAATGTTACCCATATTACTTCAAGTCACTGGAAATTGGATGCTGCATTTTGGTTAGAATCTTCATAATGGTTTTCAAACAATCAATAAAATAGCCCTAATTCAGCCCACTTCATTTCAGACATTGTTGCACGAAAAAAAAAAAAAAAAAACCAAAACTAAAATAAGAAGAAAAAATAAACAAAATTGCTGCCAGATCTCGTGAAAATGGAAATCCATTTTAGAAGAAGAGTAAGCTGAATCATACCGTCGTTGAAGATATAGGAGTTGATTTGTGACCAAATCGGGAAACCCTAAACCCGAAAACGGAAAATAAAAGGTTATCTACCAAACAAAAAGAGAAACCCACTCATTCTGGGGGTTGATTACTAATACCATCGTCGGGAGCAAGTTTAGATTCTGGAGTCGGGAGTGGGGCCGGGAACGAGTGAAAATGAAGAGGCCGAGAATTGCGTTGAAGGTGTCGTCGTCGTCGGCTGCGTTGAAGGTGTCGTTGCCGCCGCCGGGCACGGGGTCATCTTCGACGAAGAAGCGTGAATGAAATGAAAATGTATGTAGGAGGGGAACGAGTGAATGAAATAAAAATGAAATGTCTGTAGGGTTTGTAGACATTTTTTATTCCATAATTTATTTTTGGTCGTGTTTCCACTTGTGGTGAGAAAGGCAAGAAATTGGATGAAAAAACGCCACCTCAGCAATTTTGGACACCTCTATGAATTGTATTATGTACCCATAGCATTATTGTTACATAAATTGATTTAAAAATTAAATAAATAAATAAATAAAACTATTCATCCTCCTACACCCCACCATCACCACTACCACCACCAGCACCAAAAATGACCAAACCATCCATTGCCATCGCACCCTCCACCATCATCTTCTTATCCCTACTGTCTTCCTTTTTTATCATCTTCTCCCACCGAAATTGAACCTGTTGACACATAAAAATTCAGCCCAAATCGAACAGCCTAAGGAGTGAAGCCTAAATGGAGGATCCCCAAATCAGATAGCCCAAAGAACGAAGCCCAATCGAACAAATCAAGATGAAGGCCCAAGAACACGGTAACGCCATCGTCCAAGTTTGCAAGTCGCCCAGAATCTGAGCGAATGGAGTGTCATACAGTCGCCCAGAGCTGTTACTCTATTCTCGCCCAAACCTTCAAGTCGCCCAAGATCTTAACAAACATAAAGCGTTGTGGTTATTAAGGAGTGCAGTTATCAAAGCAGTTATTAAAGCAGCCCTATCACATTCCACGATTCAAGGAATTCAATCGAAGGCGGTTGAACGATGAAAAGTAATGGCAGCAGTTAAAAAAGGCAGTTTTCATGACAAGTTGGCCATTATGAAGAAAGTGGGCAGTTATAGGACGATCAAGCAGTTTTTAGGGCGGTTGATCACAAAGAGATCGTCCATGAAGTATAAAAGGGATAAAGGACATAGAAGCAAAAGACCGAATCAAAAAACTCTCGAACAGAGAACATGTAATTTTCATTTTCTTAGCTTAGACTTAAACACTTTTCTTTCAGTAACTCGTGTACTTGCGCCCCTTGGAGGCACGTTGTTTTTAATTTCCAATTGTAAAGTCATCGCCAATAAAAGAACACCCCTTTTTGGGACTTTGTCTCAAGAGTTTGTCCCTTACACAATCGTCTGATCTTTTTTAATTGTTAGCGACTAACCTGCGCGAAACAATTTGGCACGCCCGGTGGGACCGTGGTGTTAGGTGTTGAAAGTACAAAAGGTGAAACAATATGCCTCAGAGGTCCGATAAGGAAGCAGCAAGTCAGGGAGGAATCCAGTCTGTGATCGAGCGATATGAGGAGCAGCATGCCTCTCCACGAACAGATGGACAGAATCAGAGCAGTAACAGTCGTTACGAACCAATGACGGAGTTGAGTCCTCGAACCATGTGTGCATTACTTGGAGAACTCACGCAAGACGTCGTTGAACAGGTAAATCTTCGAAGTATTCATAATATGGAAAGATTTACGCAAAATGGAAATGTACACTATGACAACATGGCCAAACTAAAGACGTTGAACGAAACAATGAATAAGTTAGTAGGCCAAATATGTCAACCGACTATACCTCTTACAAATCACTTTCAAACTAGGACGATTGTGGGACATAATCCCTCGGTCCTAAATCCGAATCAAGGGGTAGAACCGCTTTCTGGTCCCTCTACTTCAAACCAAGGGGGTACTACAGTGCCAAATCAGAACAATGGTAGT